AAGAAATATTTCGTGTTATCAATTTTGGCCATATCGTCCAGCCCTAATACATATATATATATATATTATATATTATACTATATATAACGGCTGTTCTTTAAGAAATGTTTATAAGAAATGTTTCTTGAGCATCAAATCAGCATATTAGAATGATTTCTGAATGATCATGTGACACTGAAGACTGGCGCAATGGCTGCTGAAAATTCAGCTGCTGAATAGATTTACATTATCAGGTCAATGTTACCAGCTGATTACCAGGTTAATTTGTACAGCATTCAAGACTATATTTGAGTTTACAGATTTTTGTGAGACTTCGACAAGTTACTCAACTTTAAACACAACATCTGAAATGCCTCTTTTAGGTATTTGTTTACCAATGTATAGTATACCTGAGGCAGATAAGCATTAGGGTTTTTCCCAACTCCATCTATGACTAAGAAACATGATAGGACAATCCCATAGTCATGCAGTATCCCTTGCAGCTACATAGTATTGTTTTAGAGAAAGAGCAAATATCCCCATTTACATGAAAGAAACTCTTTATAAACATCCATAAAACATTAAGGTAATACATGCCACTACTTACTACGAGTCATTATGCAAAAAAATTATTTAAAAGACTCTATTAACACCAATTATTTAATTATCAAAAAAACATTTATATTCAGACTTAGTGACTCTTAATGCAGATTGCAGACCAATTTTCAGATCAGAGTTTTCTGAACTTTGTCAGCAGATAGGCAGTTTCTCAAAGAGCACACCAGCTGTTCAAACTCTAACCTCTTAACTTCACAACCTGACCAGGGTCACACTCATTCAGAAGAAATCCTTCCTAGGCTTGAAGATAGCCAGTGGCTTATCACTTGTTGGCTGTGCAACTCTAGAGCAAGAAACCCTGCTAATGCACATGACTCAAATCCACTGTTGAAGAGCAAGTGCCGTTTTCATACAGCCTATTTTCAGTGACAATTGAGGTGTGGAGAAAAAATGCAACCTTAAATTTTCTGATGACTTTAGGGCCAACATTTACAAAGCTAATTTCACCATCTCAGTTTAGTAGTTAAGCATTTTGACCCAGATGTACATGTACATGATGGGGAATGGGGGTTCAATGGCCATTTAAATAGTTATTTTATACTAAATGTGCAAAATGTACATTTTAGTCACTCAAATTGATTTCTATAGTACTTTTCACAATACACAGTATTGCAAAGAAGCTTTAAAGAAAATAATAATTTGTCGGTGCCGATAGCCTCGTCGTTAGTGCGTCGACATATAGCGCAACTGCGCTCACAGTGACCCGAGTTCGAATCCTGCTCCCCTCTCTCCACCCCAATACTTTCCTGTCATCTCTCCACTGATATATATATATATTTAGGCTACTTGTTTTTCATTAATGTAATCACATACAGCGATATATAGTAAATCTCAACTGCTTGAGTTTTTTAGTCCCTAAATGTAATTATATGTATATAATAATATACGCATATATACAGTCAAAACGATAAAACTCTCTTCAAGAGCGCACAATAACTGAGATTTTTGTATCGCACAATAAAATATTGCACATATAAAATACACTACGCAGCAATATCGCTTCCCTTTTTTATGCAGACGATATTATAAACATTAACATTACAACAATACAAAGAGCAATGTGTAACATTTTACCAGATGTAGTCCTACACTTGTTAACTTTTATTTGTTCCCCACTAAATAATGTTGTTTCACTAAATGTTTAGTTTAGTTTTAATGTTTTTATAAAATTATTGTGCACCCATGATTTTTCTAGAATAACGTTTGCTGCTGAATTATCCACTAACCTAGTTTATAATAGTATTTTTTGTCACAGATTATGATTATATATTTTTTCATTAAAATGAAGTTGTCTATATTTAGCAGCTTGTGTTTAACACACACAAGAGTGATGATCAGGTCAAACCACAGAAGTATAGAAATTCTACATTGATAAAAAATTTTTTTTTAAAAACTGCGCTCGGATCGGAATTGGCCGATACTCCGAATTTTTGGTTTCGGATCGGTTCTGAAAAAATGGTATTGTTGCTATAAAATTGCTCTACGGGAGTATACTGCATGTATGCGTATATTATTATATACATATAATTACATTTAGGGACTAAAAAACTCAAGCAGTTGAGATTTACTATATATCGCTGTATGTGATTTATATACAGAGCAGTGTGATAATACAATAATTTTTGCTGCAATAGAAATTTACATTTATTAATTTAGCAGTTGCTTTTATCTAAAGCTTTAGAAATGAGTAACACAAATTATAAATTTTAGGAAGGCAATATCATAAGAGAAGGCAGCCAAGTTTTAAACATGGTCTACAATAGTATAAGCAAGAACATGGAGGGATTTAGGAAACAGTGTAAGCAAAGAAGTTTTTTAAATATTTAAAAACTTGCAGCTTAGGTTGTACTCTAAGATGAGCGAATACTGAAGTTGCCAGAAGGACTTGGAAGGATCCAGTGTCTTTAACATTAACTACAAAGGCTCCATTCAATCTCAGAGCATCCATCAATTTTATAGCTTTTCTTCTGGGGTTAGATTTCACAAGCTAGTGGCTTCCTTTGAGAATCATATTGCTTTTAGCTAGAAGACAGAGTCCACAGTTCTCTACACCACACACAGGTTGCATTAAATACAGTTAGATTGTATATAATCTTCCTAGTTCTAATATTCCTAGTTGTCCCATGTTACAGTATAAGGATGAGCACGTGGTGATCTGTTCCCTCCTTTCAGGTCCAAACACAGTCTTATATGGAAAGAGGTTGATGTGCTAATGATAAGCTTTGTGAACGATTAATGATTAACATGCTAATTGCAAAAGGAAATACCAATGTGACAAGCTTGTGTGAGCTTCTATAGTAGAGCAAATACCTGCAATTCTTGGTCAAGATAAGGAGGCATTAATGAGTGTGTGGTAACTCTCTCTTACTGTTGCTGGACTTGAGGTCTCGGTGAATAATGGGAACTACAGCCTCCTCGTGGAGATACTGCATGCCTCTGGCGATCTGGACGGCCCAGTTCACGAGGATATGAGGGGGGATCCTCCTGCCCGTCAAAGCTCGGTTCAGAGTCCCTCCTCGGGCATATTCCATGACCAGACACAGGTTAGGCTCCTCCAAACACACCCCCTCCAGTTTAATAATATTAGGATGTTGAAGCATCGAGAAAAGTTTGGCTTCTTGCTTAACACTGTCTGCAGTCGCTTTAATGTCCTCATCGGGGTCCTGTCGAGCTGCCTTCACCGCGACCTCCTGGTCCTTCCAGGTCCCCCGGTAGACTTTGCCAAACCCACCGACGCCGATGATTTCTTGTAGAACAAGTTCAGAGAACGGTATCCGAACAGGTGCGGACGGGTCGCTCTCGCGAGCCCCTACCGCTCTATAAATGGCTGGTTGGTAAGTAACATAATTAGATGGGAAGATGCCCACGCGATGGTTAATTTTACCAGTCCACCAGCCTTCGTCTCCCGAGATAGCAGCGTCCTTAGACAGGACCTCCACCACGTCTCCTCGCCGCAGGCTGAGCTCGTCCTCCCCGCTGGCCTCGTAGTCAAACACCGCGGTCCAGAGCGAGCGGGGACACACGGGGGCAGAGTGAGCCCAAGTCCCCGAGCTGGAGGACTCCGTCCAGACATGGTCTTGGAGGCTCAGGCGCCCCTCACCGTTTGGGAAAACGGCCTGGGGAACATCCATGTCTCGGTGCCTGCAGGAGCACCATAAGGTGCCGTGATGTCAAATCAAAGTAAAACTAGTTCTGTAGTCGTATTCCCCAATGACACATACACACAAAAAATTCCTAAGAACCCCAGCCAGGTCACTTTATATCATTAATGGAGAGTCGGTCAGGTTAAATCCGGCTTAATAGAGGTTAAGGAACGCATTGCTTTGTTTCCACGTAAGCCAGATAACCAGTCTGGGAGTGCGAAGTGCCTCTGAAGCTGGGACATCAGTATTAACCAGATATACAAACGAATTTCATCTTTGTAAAAATGAAGGTAAACAACATACCTAACCGGGAAAGTCGAGAGAGTTTTCAAGCCGTGAGGCTACAGGTGCAAAGTACCTGCTCATCCCAAGCGAATGAATCTAAATATACACAAGATGAATCCACTACCTAAGATAAATTACTAATTAACTTGCGTGTCTACATGTACAAAACCTCCACACAGACACTCTCTGACAAGTTGAAACACTTTACACGAGCAGGCTAAAGAGCTATGCTAGCCCGTTAGCTCTCTCACCGAAGTTCACAAACTCGTAAGATAACTTAACTGCAGCTCGCAAAATTCCGCCGTCGCCAAGGACTCGTCGCGCGCGCAGCAGGAACCCTTTCGCAGAGTCAGTCTAGTGCGCACTTCAGTCATTCACTAGCATTGCAAAACCGACGGCTTTCCCCCCTCGCCTAGATCCAAAGACTTTTTCAGAGCAGCTAAAACTTTGCTTGCTAATGTCTATGAGCGAACCGCCATCGCTCCGCTCCTCCGACTCGACTGACCAGAGGAGAGAAGGAAAAGGTGGAAATGGATTGGTTGCAGGAGTTCACGTGACACTCTGCGTGATAGCAAAACAAAAGTGGGAATTGGGAACTTTTCTTATTTTAATCTGCGGTGTTATGCTACGTCTGGAGATTAATAATGGAGTCTGACTGGATAAATCAATCTGCTTTACCCTACACTTTACAACATGCAGCTTACAATATGTTAGTATGTAAAGATATGCACCCGACTGGCCTTGATAAACAATTCTGTATTGTTTATAGGTCTATAGCCTACCTATAATGTTACATTAATGAGATGATTTCAAATGAGAAAAATAAACAAACAAATATATCAAGACAGTTCTTTTTTGTTACCTATATAACTATAAATAAATACAAATGGAAAAAATGCAGAATTATCAATAATTAATAATGCTTATTTTAGACATAAAATCGGCAAAATGTAAAAATATTTTTGGGAAACTGAAGAATGTTGTAACACATTTAGATACTTTATATTCCCATTATATAATATTCCCATTATATTTGTCTGCGGCCAATGAAGGTTAATTTTAAGTCTGGCCTTTATAATATTGTGTGTATCTATATCAATTTATTGACATAGCCTATACTTCATGGCATCTAAATCACATCATTACAAAGTATCACAAAATATCATCTTATTCACATTCCCTTGCATAATTGTTTATAGCATATCTGTACACACACACACACACACACACACACACGGTTGTTTTTGTGAATTGTGGGGACTTTCAATAGACTTCTATTACTTTTATACTGACCAAACGATATTTTCTATCCCCTAACCCAGTGGTTTTCAAACCTCTCCATGAAGTACCCCCAGCACTGCACATTTTGTATGTCTCCCTGTATCTCATACACCCACTTCAGGTCTTGCAGTCTCCTCTAATGAGCTGATGAGTTGAATCAGGTGTAATAGATGAGGGAGACATACAAAACGTGCAGGGCTGGGGGGTACTCCAGGACAGGTTTGAGAACCACTGCCCTAACCCAACCCTAACCCTAAACCTACCCCTTACAGAAAACCTGTTTGCATTGTTACACTTTCAGATAAACATAATTTACAATTTTTTATCATTTTTTTCCCCTCGTGGGGACCGCAGGCCGGTCCCCACAATGTCAAAAATGTCAGGTTTTACAATCCTTGTGGGGACATTTGGTCCCCACAATGTAGCATAAACAAGTACACACACACACACATATATATATATAGGCCTACACATACACACAGATGTGCTCATAAGTTTACATACCCCTTGCAGAATGTGCAAAATGTTAACAATTGAAACGAAATAAGAGGGATCATGTAAATTGCATGTTATTTTTTATTTAGTACTGTCCTGAATAAGCTATTTCGCATAACAGATGTTTACATATACTCCACAAGACAAAATAATAACTGAATTTAAAAAAATGACCCCATTCAACCCATTCAAAAGTTTACATACCCGTGTACATGAATCTTAATACTATGTGTCATTTCCTGGATGATCCACGACTGTTTTTATATATTTTGTGATAGTTGTCCATGAGTCCCTTGTTGGTCCTGAGCAGTTCAACTGTCTGCTGTTCTTCAGAAAAATCCTCCAGCTCATATTTGATCCCTTTCCAAAAGTGACTGTATGATTTTGAGATCCATATTTTCACACTGAGGACAACTGAGGGACTCATACACAACTATTACAAAAGGTGAAAACATTTACTGACGCTCAAGAAGGCAACACAATGCATTAAGAGCCTTTGAACAGGATGATGATGTGTAAGTCTTCTCATTTTGTTTAACGATCATATTTTTTTTCATTTAGTACTGGACACTTCAGAAGCTACATAAATACTTACATGTTTCCCATTAGACAAAATAAGTACAATTTACCCTGATCATCCAATTAAAAAAGTTTACACCCCACGTCTCTTAAAATGCATATATAGCCTATAGTCTAATGTCTATTTTGTCTATTGTGTATTTTTATTTATTTCCTATTCACATAATTTCTATACCCTTTTACTTTTTATTCACTTAATTCTGACAAAGGCATTAAATATTAATGATTGATGTACAGAGTTACACACTGGTATTAAAAACATAATACTGCAGTTCCCGTAATGAAGACATAAATGTTTCAAAAATTGCTATTGTTATGTGTAAAAATCGCGGTGGTGTGGACGTTTGAATGTTTGCGCACACATTTATTGCGGTAATAAATATTTTAAATTGACTTAAAATGTTGGCATGCGTGTCAAAATGAACTGCTACCTCTCTCTGTCCCGCTTGTCTGGCTGCAGTGTAGTACAGCTGATTCTCCACGGCGCTTGTGTTTGGACTGGCAGCGCAGGGAGGGGGCGCGTGACTCAGTGAGCAGCAGAGCATCGCTATGAATCAGTCCCTCCCTCCCTCCTCTCCGCTCATGTGAAGCTGCCTGGCGCAGGAGGATGCTGCTAGGTGCCTTTCACCGCACAAACCCAATGTCCCTATGCTGGGAAACAGGGAGCCAAGGCGTGGAAGATGAAAAAGAAAAGTAAACGGCTTCAAGGAAGGATGTAGAGGCAGCTTCTGTAAATATGAAATCGCGCGCAGGGGTAGCGAGTCGAGGACGGTAGCGGTGTGAATTCGCAGCTTGCAGCATGACATATCTGTAGCGACCATTATTGCAAAAATATGGGCTCTCAAGTTGTGCAAACGCTACGCCAAGGAGTCTGGGCTTCACTGACCGGAGGATGGTATCATGATCCAGAACAGAATAAATTCAACAATTCATGTCACCTGTATTTATGGATGTTTTTGCTCATGCTTCCATTATCTCTTCATTTGGTGAGTGATACAATGCCGCAGGCCGCCGATAATATGCGTTCTGCAATTAGAAAGCATTCAGTGCGTTATAGCTGCGGAAACCTTACACGGAATATTTCTCTGAAGAAATCAAATTGATCAACTCGTTAAATGTATTGTATTTTATATCAATGTTGGTGTTTGTTTGGTGCTAGCACTGTCGCATTTTTCTTCTGCATAGCCTCCTGTACTGGTGATGAACGTCTCAAAGCATTGTTTTGCATTTACAGTATACGAAAATATGCATATATATTACGTGTTTTTGTCAGTGGTCAAGAAATGAATTATTATTATTAATATGATCATTGAGATAATAATAATACAAACCCAAACATCTATTTTACTGTTTTATAGTTGATCTATCTAAAATAGCTCCAAAGATGTCACGGCTCTGATGTGTTTTCCCTCTCTTCCTTCCTCAGGCTCTTCCACCCACCACTACTACCCTCAGTATTTACTGCACCTCAGTGACAGTTTTCTTCATTGTCATTAAGATGGTAAATTATCGCCTCCATCTGATGTTCGATCAGGGTGACACTGTAGCCCAGAATAGTGTGCCTGACATCAGCAAAGGTGTAGACAAGAAAAGCAACGCATCTGATTCCTGTCTTCCATCTCTAAGGTCCAAAATCAGTTGTGCCATTTATTGAATTCAGCATTATTTTGCAGTGTTATTTTCTATTATTGTCTTATGCATCCTGTCCTCAAAGCACTGCCAAAAGTATTTTGATATATTTTTCTTGTGACCAGACTAAAGTCTGAACTGTTTTAATCTCAGGAAGAGCAGCACAGTTCCTGACAGTGTTGCCACATCAGTATTGACCAAAAACAGACCAAGTCCAGTAATACAAGTCACAGTGAAACAGACTGAAACAGACCCTGGACTGATTGGAGTGAGTAATACTTTCGTGAATTTATGTACCATAATAATTTACATTTACTTTACAAAATATGTATTTTTACAGAATGTCACAAATATGTTCAACGTAAGAGCAACACTTTGAGAGCATAACTGCTTTACACAAATATTGCAGTGGATTTTGTTATGTATACTATTTTCTGTGCACTTTTAATAATATATTTTTTTTGTTAACCTGCTTTACAAAACTGCGAAGGAGTGTCCAAAATCTGAGGAGCTGAAGAATATAGAGGGTATGTACCAGCTTTAATTATAGCACTGGCCTGGTTTCACTGCAGTGCAAGAGATCCTCACAATTCGGGGAACATGCTGTGCAGATACATCGCTGTAAGTTTCTGTCACAGTCTCACAGAGCCTTGCATATGAACTGAGGAATAACTTGACTACTTTCTATCTTGCCTCAGTTACACGTCACACTGAGTGTGACATCCTGCCAGGACCTCTCAAAAAGAGCTGTCAGACAGCTTTGTCAGAAAGCCCAAACACAGCTTCACACTTACATTGTGAGGGTCTCTGACTGCATCTAAAACACAGACATTTTACAATATTTTATTGAATTTAATGAAGAAGTGTAAGTTGTTCATGTAATATATTATAAAAAGATTTTTTATAATCTAAAATAATTTTATTAAATAAATTATATTTTTCACCCGAAAAAAATAAAATTCTGTCATCTTTCTTCACCCTCATGTTGTTCCAAACCCATAAGACTATGGTTAATCTTAAAAGCACAAATTAAAAATAAATACATGAATAAATTGAAAGTCATTAATTGAAAGTCCTTGTCACCAAAACTTCATAAAATGAATCCATATGAATCAAGCAGTTTTATATCTTGTGAAGAGATATGATCACTTTATATGTTGAACAGGTTTAATTTAGGCTTTTGTTTACATCTAAATAGTGATCATAATGATAGTGAACATGGAAGTTTGTGTAATTTAATCTGACTCCTTGGAAGTTTTGGTTACTGGGACTTTCAATGGAGTCAGAAATGTTAAATTTGAGTAAATCTTAATTTGTGTTTCAAAGATTAACTGAAGTCTAATGAGGGTTTGTAAATGATGACAGAAATTTAATCTTTGGTTGAACTAACCATTTAAAGCAGTTTGTGACATCAACCAATGGGGTTCATCACCTGGTAGCTACTGAATTAAATTCTTTCAAAAACCATATGTTTATTTGACATTTTAAACATGCTGTTTGTATA